GAGAACCCCCAGGACCAGGTTTCAAAAACAAAAATTCGATTCGGATAGTTCGTCGCGCCCCTGTCGTGCCCTTGTCCGCCGCACCCCCTTCTCTCTGGGTCCCTTGCACTTCTCCTTCCCCCTCGTCGTTCTCCCCCTCCGACCGCCGCTTGTCGCATGGATCTCACAAGCTCTCCGCAGCCTCAATCGGTGTGCGTTCAGAGCAGGAACGCAGCAAAACCACAGGACAGCGTGGCAAAAGCAGTGCAGCTCCGCACACATGCCAAGTGATTCATCGAGAAAGAATACCGCCGAGCCCAAGGACAGCGACGCACTGACAGTGTAGCTTGGCATCAACGCAGCGGCCGGAGACCCCCGCGACGTCCACCAGCGTTGCTCCACCCCCGCGGGTATGGGCAGAGGACACGCTGAAAGGGACCGCACGCGGGTGATGACCCGACGATCCGCCACCGTACTTTGTGCCCATGGAGGCGCTGAGGAGTGCCAAGGGCTGCGTGGCAGGGCCCCTGGGCGGCCTCCGCCTCGGCCGACGTCGCCCTGCAGAACTCGGCGATGCTCCCTGGAGGGGAGGTTTTGCGCTCCCCCGCCGAGGAGGTCGCCGCCGTGGAGGGCGAGCGGGCGCGCGCTTTCGCCGTGCTCGCGGAGGCGAGGCGCGACGGCGAGGCGTTCCTTGGGGGGGGGCGGAGGCCTCCTCCTTCCCTCCTCCCCTCCCTCCGTCCCCTGCCTTCTCGTCCTCCGCCTCGTCCTCCTCTTCCTCGGGAGGAGGGGGGGGGCTGATGGGGAGAAGGTCAGGGTTCTACGTTCGGGGGAGGAGGACGAGGACGAGGACGAGGAGGAAGATACGGCGGGCGAGGTGAGAGGCGGAGGAGGAGGGCAGGGAGGAGGAGGAGGAGGGGGAGGAGCAGGAAGAGGAAGAGGAGAAGGACAAGGAAGAGGAGAAGGACAAGGAAGAGGGGACAAGGAGGATATGGGAAAGAGAGGGGGAGGATGAGCAGGAGTAAGGTCAGAGTTGGAGGAGGGGGGAGAAGGAGGTGCAGGAGCAGAAGAGGAAGGACGAGGAGAAGAGGAGGAGGTGGAGGCGAAGGACAGGAAGGACCAGGAGGAGGACGAGGAGCAGAAGGGAGGACGAAGAGGAGGAGGTGGAGGAGGATGAGGACGGCGAGGTAGAGAAAGAGGTGGAGGAGGAAGAGCAGGAGGAGAATGACCAGTGCAAGCCCATGACTCGCAAACGATATTGTAATAAACCCTCCCTCCAAGTTACCTTGTCATCGACTCAAAAACGGATCCAGTGTAGATGAGGGAAATGCCCTGTTGGAAGACAACCGTTTGAAAATCCGAAATTGCGCCAGCACGCAATTCCTAGGACCTCAACGCCGCGAATCACCTTTCGTGTTGCCTCTTGGCGGTTCTTAATCATGCCAGGCACCATCCCTGGGATTTTCACACCGCGAATCAACGTGACTGTTGCGTCCTGACTTTCCGACATCGGGCCCAAACACCATTCTCGGTACGCGAACCACGAGAATCTTGGACGCTGCTGCAAGCTCTGAGGACGACTGCGCGCGGCGCTGAGGCGAGAACCACACTCTGAAACGGAACCGCCCTCCCTGGCATCGCTCGGGCGTGTGCATTGTTTCTCTGCGAGAATCATCGGGGACCATCCTGGACCATCGAGCAACAAAAAACATACGCGAAACCGAACAATGCACGGGACATGGACGTCCTAGCGATGGCAGGCATTCATTCGTGAAGCTCCTGCAACTTGTAGAATTCCTGTGTGCGGCGCGAAGGCGGGAGCCACGTCTCGAAAACGGACGGCCCTCCGCCTGTGAAGCCCTGTAAAAGCACGAGTACGTACAGTGCCGTTTTTAACCCATGCTCCGCGTGACGGCCACGTATTAAAAGGGCAGGGATTTAGTATCAAAAACAATGATGAGTTCATGCATGCATGTATTCTTAAATTAGTCATGCATTAAAAAAACCTTTTTAAAAACAACAAAAACACCCTATGTATTAAACAACTGCCTGTAAGATGCATGTGCGCGGCGCGAAGGCGAGAGCCGCAGTTTGAAAGCGGGCCGCCCCTCAACCGTGAAACCGTTGCAGATTCCAAGCTTCGGGAGCAAAAGATGTGAGGCAGTCTCGGACGCAACGCCCCGCCCGCCCTCTCGACGGGCCTCGGGGTGCGACAGGAGGAGCTCTCGATGGGGAAACCGAATGGAGGAGGAGGAGGAGGAGGAGGAGGAGGAGGAGGAGGAGGAGGAGGAGGAGGAGGAGGAGGAGGAGGAGGAGGAGGGAGGAGGGGAAGAGAAGGAGGAGGAGGAGGAGAAGGAGGAGGAGGAGGAGGAGGAGGAGGAGGAGAAGGGGAAGAGGAGGAGTTCCCCCCCCCCCGCTCCGTCAGGCCGCCGAGGCCCGCGGGGCGGACTGCGCCAGGGCCCGGCTGGAAGCCGCCTGGGGCCGCGAGCGCGCGCAGTGGTCGCTGTCGCACGCGGGCCTGGAGGAGCGCCTGCCCGCGGCGGCGGCGCCGCCGCCGATGACGACGACGACGACGACGACGACGACGACGACGACGACGACGACGAAACGACGACGACGACGACGATTGCATCTTTTCCTCCTGGTCCGCCTCCGTCGTCGTCCTCTGCCGCCTCCTCGCTCCTCTCTCCTCACGTCTCATCCCTCCTCGTCCTCTTCTTTTCTCAATGACGGGGAAGAGAAAAGGAGGCCGGGAGGGGGGAGGGGTAGGAGAGGGGAGTATGATGGAGGAGGCCGAGTCCGTAGTGACTGTGGCTCAGCCTGAAGCCTCGAAGCCGTTGGGGGGGGGGGGGGCTCAGCTCGTGCGCAACCGAGGGGCAGGCTCAGGCCCCACGCGCTCTGACAGGGCAGCCCTGTCGGCCCAAGTTTTGTGAGCTCCTGGAGCATCCTCCCTTCCTATACAGTCAACAAGCCTAATAAGGACGCGCGACTTTGCTCATGGTACCCTTGCGGCCTTGCTCTTCCTTGCTCCTGCGTCCTTGAGGTTTTCGTCGTCCGCCGCCCCAGAAATCCCAACTTCGGCTTCCAAGGGTCTTGTGTTCTTACCGCGCGTCCTTATTCGGGTTTTGACTGTACGCGAGAGGTGGCACATTCAGGCGGGTTCCGTGAGCTCGAAGGATGTGCTTCGTGGGCCCAGGGACACACGTTGGCAACACCGTACGGATACGTGGGCAAATCGGGTAAAATGCTAGGGGGTCACACGCGAGCCCTACCCCTACCCCCCACGCTTTCTGAGGGGGAGGGTGGGGTTCACTTCGCTCGGGAGCTCCCGAACGAAGTGAACCCCACCCTCCCCCTCAGAAATCGTGGGGGGTAGGGGTAGGGTTCGCATGTGGCCCCCTAAATGCGCTTGCGGCGCACACACCCCGCCCACCGTACAGAAGGCGGCCAAGGCAGCACACGAGACGACGGGGGCAAACAGGAGCTGGAAAAGGCGGTCGGGGTCGAAGGGTTTCGTGGCAGCCTGACGCGCCCACGGCTGACCCCACGCTGCAGAGGATTCCCACGTCTAGCGGGCGGAAAACGGTGGAGCAGAGTTTTTCGCGCCGTCGGGGACGCCTGCCCCCCTGGCGGTTGCAACGTACCCTTTCGATGCCACGTGGGGCCATGAAGTTGCAGCCGCCTGGGGGGCAGGCGTCCCCGACGGCGGAACAGATGTTCCAACATGTGTTTTACTCGCCCTTCGAACAAACGCTTCAAGAGTCTGGAGAAAGGTGGCTCTTTTCCGACACCACCATGGGCTGCTTCGCTTTGTGCCCCCAGGAAGGGCGATGGCGCCAGGTTCGCGAGCCATCAGGGTAACAGACATCTGGCGGAGGAGCAGGCCGAGAAGTTGCAAAGGCAGGTCCAAGAAGCCAAACCTGACCATGCTCAGCGGCATTCCATCACTACTCGCCTGTCCAGGTTCGAAGAGATGTCGACCCAGCTCGAGGCCAAGCTGGCGGCCGTCCAGTTAGAAGTTGAGGAGGCCCAGCAGCTGCCGCAGCAAAATGCTGGTGATGCGGAGCGGGCCGTGCAGAGACCGAGGCGCCACGCGGAAGCGCGGGAGCACCACGCCAAGGAAAGCTCTGCCGCATCTGCTGCTGCGGGCGAAGGGCTTCGCCTCGAGAGGGAGGATCACCAGCTCACGAGCGGACCCGATGAGCTCAAGGCCTGGTTTCGGGGGTGGACGGACCTCCTACCCTGACACGTCGATTCAGGAATTGGCCGTTTTCGGCTCGCGAGAGGGCGTCGCGGCCGTCCGTCCTTTTTGCGGGTCCAGGTCCGTCGGCTTCGGTCCCAGGCCGTTTTCACTAAGGGTCACCACCCACCAAACCACCCCAACCCAACCCGAAGGATCAGATTTACCATCGATTTCCAGTGGGGGGGGGGCGGGAAAAATCGAAAAAACACACGTGGAACCCTTACCCCCCCCAACCCGAAATTCGGGTCTTCGGGTTGCGTTGGGGTGGTCTGGTAGGTAGTCAAAGGGGAGGTCTACTAAAGGGAGGTTTGTCTACCGCCGATGGTTCCGCCTCCAGAAGCCGGATGGCCAAGCCGGCAGACCCTTTCAGGGCCTTGGGCGCGCGCTCCGTGCGGCTCGATGATCGTGGTCAGGGCTTGCGGAGTGCGCCGCGAGCGCAGCGCGCCACGACAGCGCGGGCGTGACGCCAGGGGGTCAGTGCTAGCACTCTCGTGCCAGCGCCCACGGAGCTGAGCTCGGGGTCCACTTCGCGTCGTTCTGCTGGCGGGGTCCGCGCCGGCACCCCCCCAGGCCGGCGTCTGCCGACTTGGACGCGGGGCCGCCGTCGCCTCGGCACAGCCTCCTCCTCCTCCTCCTCCTCCTCCTCCTCCTCCTCCTCCTCCTCCTCCAGCGCCCACTGAGGCGCGGGGAGGAGGCGGGGGGGGAGGAGGGGGAGGAGGGGGAGGAGGGGGAGGAGGGGGAGGAGGAGGAGGAGGAGGAGGAGGAGGAGGAGGAGGAGGAGGAGGAGGAGGAGGAGGAGGAGGATGGAGGAGGAGGAGGAGGAGGAGGAGGAGGAGGAGGCACAAGAAGATGGGGCCAGCGCAAAGGCACCCCCCCTGGCCCGCGCCCACGGAGCGGGGCGCGGGGCCCCCGTCGCCCCGGGGGGGGCGACCGTCGGAGCCGCGAGGGCGAGCGCGCGGTGCTCGGGCGCGAGCTCGGTCGTCGCTGGCAGGGCGGATGGATCCCCCGGCTCTCCAGGGGCGGGGGCGGACAGAACCCCCAACAGTGACACGTCGATTAGTGAATTGTCCGTTTTCGGTTCTCGAGAGGGCGCCGCGGCCGTCATTTTGCAGGCTTGCGCCCGCCAGGTTTGGGCCTCAGGTCGTTTTCACTAAACCACGTTTTACTAAAGGGGGGTCTGTCCATCCCCGACAGGGGCGCGAGCCGAGAGGCGATTCACCGACGCGATGGGGGCGCCGATGGAGGCACGGCAAACGCTGGCTGGGCCGTCGGCTCTCTACGGTGGCCGGGTCGGCACGCGCCGCGCTCCTCGCCCCCGAGGCAGCGGAGCCCCCCCTTCGCAGAGGAGGCCCGCGCGAGGCCTGGGCGGCGCGCTGCGCCTTGTATCTGCGACTTCGCGCGGGGGCCGTGCGTCGAGGAGTTGCTGGAGAAAGGGTCGAAGCGCCCCACCTGCTGCAGGTGTTCCGCAGAGCGCTGCCGGGTCTCACCCTCGGGATGGGGTGCGACAGTCTTGCCGGGGGCGACCTCGGCTGCGCCGACGAGGCGCGGGCTCTCGCCCTCTCGCCCCCCCCTCGGCCCGGGGCTCCAGGATCAGGAAGGGGAGGGGGGGAGGATGGGAGGCAGGTCCAGGGGTGCTCCTCCTGCAGCGCGGAGCATTGGAACGAATTGCTCCAAACGTGTCATGGGCAGACGCGCGGAGGGCGCCGGGGGGGGGCCTGGGCCGCCGCGGTTACGCTGGCCGAGCGCAGGGGCGGGTGCTCAGAGAGCGCCAGGACATCGCAGCGTAGGGACCGCGACGGCGCCTGATGAGCTGGAGTCCGTCCCCGGGGCGCGAGGACGGGCTGTGACAAGGCGAGTGAATGGCGCCCCCTCGAAGGGCGGTTTGGCTGCCGGCTTCCTCGTGCAATTGCGGGCGCCTCGCGCAGCCCCCTTTGCCCAGCCAGAAACGATGCCCAGGAGAGCCGACGGGAGAAGGGAGGAAGAGACGCACGTAGTGAAACAGCGTGGGCAACAACGGTGAATTGGGAGATCTCGGGTAGCGAATGGTACGGGTGCTGTTGTTGGTGCTGTTGCTTCTGCTGGTACTGCTGGTGGTGGTGGTGCTGCTGCTGCTGGTGCTGCTAGTGGTGTTGTTGGTTCTTGCGCTGTCGGTGCTGCTGCTGGTGCTGCTGATGGTGCCGTTCTTTATGTTGTTGGTGGTGGTGCTGCTGTTGCTGCCGGTGTTTGTTTTGGAGGCCTCTTGGAGCGTCTGGGGGAGGCTTCTTGGGTGCCTCCGGGATCCTCTTGAGCTTTTTGGGGGCTCTCTTGGAGGCCTCTTGGAAGCGTTTCTTGAGCGCCTCTTGGGGCCGTCTGGGGGCCTCTTGGGGCCCTCCTGGAGCGCTCTCGGGAGGCTTATCGGGGCGCCCTCGAGGCCACCTTGGAGGAGATCGGTCAAGGAAAGGAGTTCCCACAGTACGCCCCCCCCTCCGGAGCCCCCAACATAGCCTCCTGGGCCACTCGGGGCGCTCTTGGAGAGTTTTTGGTCGCTCTTGGGGCCGTCTCGGGGTTCTTTTGGGCCCCTCTCGTGGCCCTCTTGGGGCGTCTCGGAGCCATCTCGAGGCCTCGGATGGCCATCGGAAGCGAAACGGCGAGAAGGCAACCATCATGTGCTTTTTTGTAAGTCTTCGAAGGATTCTAGCTTATTGGAGGCCTCCTTGGAGGTCTCGGAGGCCTCTTGGAGCCGTCTTGGGGCGGTCTTGAAGCCAGCTTGAGGCATCTTGCGCTATCTTGAACCATCTTGGAGTTCATCTTAAGCTTTCTGAGCCCCTCTTGGAGCCGTCTTGGGCCATCTTGGAAGCTCTGACCGCTCGCGACCCCCCCCCCGTCCAGGTTCAGGGGCAGGGGGGGGGGGGGGGGGGGGCAAACCCCTCCCCGAAGGGGGGGGGAGGGGGTTGGAAGAGGAAACTCCCCAGACCACCTACGCCCAGAGGGCTGGCGGGATTCCTCGGGCACGAATGGAGGCCACTTGCGCCTCGGCAAGTTTCGAGCGGCCCTTGGTTTTCGTGGGTCTTGGGGCGCGGTGAGCGCGCGAAGGGCAGCTCCGACGGGCTCGCGCCAAGCCGCGCCGAGCGCGGCGCCGCCCGCGCCGCCCCCAACTCAGAGACTTGAGCTGCAGGAAGAGGCCTCGCGTGCGATCTGTTTCCTGGGTTCGCCCCGCGGGCGACACTGGCCCCCGGCCTCGCGCGAGGCCCCGATGTTGCGCGTTCGCTGCCGACGCGCAGCTCCACAGGCCGGGCTCCGCC